TTATAAATATTATGAAATATTTATTGTAAATGTTATAATAAATGCTATGAAAATACTTAATGCGATATTATAATTCAAGTAAAAAATACTTATTAGAAATATTTATTTATATTTACCATAAGTATTACATGAAATATTTAGTCTATATTTTAATAATATTTCAAATAAAGCTTTATATAAAATATGTATGTAATATTTATGCAACATTTAAAAAATTGAATATTAATAAATATTTATCATAAATATTCTGTGCTGTCTGGGTAGACTTCTATTTAACTAACGCATCATTAACAATTACAAACAATCTTGTTATAAGTACTTCGTTCGCCGAAAATCAGAAAAGGATTGCGCTGATCGACAGTTTGACCTTCGGTTTTTTCAAGAGTTTCAAACAAAAACATTCGCGATTGATATTCGCTTTTTCTGTTAAAAAATTTAATATGAAGGTATGATATTTTTATTTCAAATTTTGCGTATTTGTAGCCTTAGGACTGCGCGACTCCCTCAATTCATCCGTAGAATTCATTAATGATTAACAATCTGACTGCTGTGATGGATATGAAGGCAAAGATCAGCAATCTGTTGTCATGTGCCAACTATGTTCAATTTCATATAAAAAAGCTGTGGAAACGAAGATAAAGAAAAAATGTAAATATATAAAATATGTATAATAAATAAATAAATATATATATATATATATATATAACAAATATATAATAAGTATATGTAAACATATGAAATATTACAGATATAAACTATGTTAAATGCAGAGAAAGTTTAACAGACGTAAAGTATAAAAAACATTTAAATAAAGCTAAGTAAAATTTAACTAAATATGAATTAAAAGATATTTTATGTCTTTGTGACTGCAGTCTTAAAAATATAAAATGTTTAATTTTAAACATTTTCTTGTGGTAGAAAGCTTAAATTTAGGATTATATAATAAACTTTTTGAAAAATTACACTTTTCCAATATTTAATAAATTTATATTCAAGAGATGAGGACTCTGATTGCTGATCTCTCTCCTGCGAAGTCGACGTTTCACAAAAATTTAGCAGCTCGTTGAAAGCATCCGCTCGGACTTTCGTTGTCTGAACTTCTAACGAACGAGTAAGATTCACACTTACTTACATCTAAAGTATGTATAAGTAACTGTACGTGGATACACTTATATATATATATATATATATTATTACAAAATCTAGTCTCGTTCGAGGATACACCGAATCGAACGAATCCTAAACGCTTACCTCGAAAATCCGAACGTCCATTACACAGCTTCTGTGTTATTTACATATATGTATTTGTCAATATGTAATACGAGAGTATGTACATACATTTTTTAAACGTGGTCCTATATGATTCATATGTCTCGTTGCCGTGTATATGTATTTTTGTTTATTTTTATATTTAACGCCGATGAATTTTTGCTGCGTTCTTGTAACAGCGTATCTTATAATAAAAGGATATTCAATAAATTTTGCCTAATGGGACTTTATATATTACGTATATGAAAAAATGTACATTATGTATATATTGCAATATACAGAGTACATAAAAAATGCACGTTTTTACACTTATTATATTATCATAAATGAAAAAAATATTATTTGCGCTAATACTTTTTTCTAGTAATTTCATAAAGCAAAATTTAAGGACAAAAATAGATAATATAAAGTTTCATATTCTTTAATTAATTTCAAATTTAATTCAATCAAATTTTTCACTTCATCGAGTACGCTGTAGCTACAGAAATATATGTGCACAATGTATTTTTTATATACCTTGCATATTTTATATTATATATGAAGTGCGTCAAGCAAATCTGTGATGTGCTTAAAAACTCGCCGGATTTTTGTAAAGTGCCTTGCATTATTGCAATGTGTATTATCACTAATTGTAAGTATATAATATATTTAAATACAATAATATATTATTTACAGGATCGATCCTTTGAATTTTACAATGAAGGCATTAATGCAAATAAACATTAAAAAAATATATTTTATACATAATAATACAACGTGTCGACGTTTTCATTACATTAATTTATTTAACGCTTACGAATTTCAGTTGAATAATTGATAGTAATAACCGCATATTTAAGCGCAATTAAATCAATATGACGAATCTTGCGATAAATCTCACAGTGGAATATTTCCTGAAAGAATAACGGGAAAGCAATATTAAACTGCCGGCATTTTCTAGCGAGCTTTTAAGCTAAACGAAAGTCCGATCTGACGAGACTTCACTATACCGTATTTATTGTCGTGCCCTCCGCTCTGCGTTCGGACTACAGTATACGTCGGCTCATCTAATCGTAAAAGTGCACCGACCGAATTAAGCCACGCCAATTTGCGATAGTCGAGCGCACATTTAGCCTGTCCAGTGTCCTGGTTGCGACAGATGCTCATGGAAAGATAAAAAAGTATTATGGAAGACGAAACGGGGCCGCAAACGGTCGCCAGCGAAACGGGGATCAGGAGCCTGAGCGCGCACGCGAATCTCGAATAAATTTAATTTTCTTTGACAAAACTTCGTATCTTATCGATCCTCTGTATTTTATATCGATACACTTGCAATTATCAACAGCAACAATAACAGCACACAGTGATTTATTTTTGAACAGCGAATGTTAGAAATTATGTATATACAGAATAATTCACAGAAGCTCCATAGAGCTCATCAGGATCAATTAGCCCACGTTATCGCATTTCGGACCGCTCAATTATAGAAAAGCTCATGAATTTTGGCTGTCTATATGTATATATCTATAAGTAGATTCTTTGCTATTAATATGGATATAATATAAAGAGAAGATGTAATATATAAAGTAAAGATTATATGACATTTGTTAAAAATAAAATGTAAAATCTTTTTAATTTTTATATAAATGTTTCAATTGTTAACGTTCGCACGTATATATACGAAGTAAAAGGAATAACTTATATTTTGAAATATGTATTTATTCCATGTACTTCAACTCTAAGCGGTAAAAATACAAACATTAATTTGCGAGAACTCTTAACGTCGAATCGAAAGTTCGTGCATCGCGTAAATTTCGTGTTTCTTCTGCGCGATAAAAAACGTCTCTCATAAAACAGCTGATGCAAAACAGTTTTCCGATAAATAGCGTTAAAAAAACAAGACGTGTTATTCTTCGATCAGTCTATTTCGATCTACAGATTTGTTTGCCTCTTGCTTCGGCTTTTTGCAAGGTCTGTTGAACAGTTAAATTCAATAGCCACGACGAGATCTATACGAACTCTGCAGCATGCAGGATGTCGGCACAGAGAACTCATCTCGCAGTTCCGGCACATTCGCACCCCGATGTTATCTCCTTTTTCCGTGTTCGCCGTGTCGATCGAGCGATGCACGAACTTGTTTGACCTGTATTTTATCTACAGTCCGATTAATCGCCGGTTACGTCTAAACGAGAGAAAAAGAGAAAGAGAGAGAGGAAAAACCTCTCTAACTCACGTGTTGACATCGTGTCGCGTATATTTACAGAGACCCTGTCGAAAGTTTCGACGGAGTCTTTTTGGTCGCAGCAGTGACTACATCCGATCGCATCTAGAAATATATCCTTGTTATATCGAATAAGGGGAAGACCTATATTTCTTTTTTTCTTCTTTCTTCAGCATGACTTCGCTTCATCCTCTCGACTCTATTCCCATCACGAGTCTCAAATCCTCAAACAGTGCTACAGAAATATTTTTAAAGAAAAATTGAACTCGCCAATTTATAATCGTTTAAATTGTGATAACGGATTGAATAAAAATTTGAAATATAATAGAACACAAGAGTCTTTGATTTCATACAATTTTTATAAAACTGTATTTTCCTGCATTTACTTAATATAAAGTTTTTCAATAAAGACGTTAGTGTATTTCAAAGGATTTTTATTTGCAAAATTTTAGAAGCACTGTCGTAAGATCTAAATAACTCGGAAGCAGAGTCATTTTTTTCTCTGTACATTTTGACCGAATTTACTCGACCTTCATTTATATTTACAATCATCGCCAGAGGGACTGACCTACCCAGATAGGATTGTCGCGTACGCACGGCGCGTCCCTTTGCGTTACTTTTAGGCGACTAATGAAGATCCACGAGGTGTCCCTAACTGACCCTTTTGCTTGCCTTCCTAAGTTCATTCATTAATCTCTATCCTGAATTTATAATAGTTTCGTATGCAAATGATGTCCGACGATACGTGAAATATTAATTCTCTTATGAACAACAAGTTAAATATTGCAATGACTTAACTGAGAAGAAACAAATGACTTACCCTGTTCTTTAGTAAAAATATGCTTTATATATTTTCAATATCTTAAAAACTTTCTTAAAATTTTCGTAAATTATAATTTTACAGATAGATTTCTAGAGTGCAATCGCACGATAAATTTAATGTTTACTTTAAAGTCATGATTAAAAAAATGAAAGCTGCCAGGGAGGAATTATATATAATAAATGATAGAGAGTAATGAAGATAATGACCAGGCAGTCGATGTCAGATTCCGTTGGAATCAGGCTTTTCTCTCCTTAAATAGATTGGTTTTCTACTCTTCAAAGATATTGGATTTCGCGATCAATACTTGGAGCGAAGCACGTAATCCGAGAAAGCATTTTGACATCGCAAAAAATGTAAAGTACATCAAATAATGATTAAAGCAGAAGTCTGTAATATTCAGAGATTTCTTTATAACGATTACCCTCTTTAAATATATTCTGACAAGCTTTGAGAGAAAACTTTCGCCATTATTAACAGCGGAGATAATCGTTTCCTACAAGGTAGTTGTGTAACATTGAATATTTTAAGATTGACTTTATTGTAGAAGAAAAAGAAATATGGTCACGTTAATATAAAATAAAAAAATTATGTAATTGTATTTAAAATTTTCAGATAAGTTTACAGTTAAATATAAATTTAATAATATAAACAATAAAAGCATAAAAAAATTATTTTAAAAAATTCACAATAATTCCAAACGTGTGTTAATTTAAAAAATTTCAAGAAGTCAGTGCTTGAAACTTTAAATCAACGTTATAATTGATCAAATGTTAATTCTTCTACCTGTGTCGTGCAGGATCGAGATCTTTTAAATTTATTGTTCTTCGGTCCGACTCGTGGATCTTTATAATCGCAGTTTCTCTCATAATCACCGTTTATTTCTGAAGCTCTTTGCCATCGTCTTACAAGGTGGTCGGCAGAAGAAGCAAAAGCAAAATCGCGGACACCGAGGGATGCCTGAGATTCGCGGCATTTACGGTGACCCAAGGCGGTGGCGGTAAGGAAGGCACGACGGGCCTGTCCGTTCTTTGGCCCTCTTGAGTGCTACCGGTCATAATCTGCGTGGTACCGAAATCATCATCGCTGTTGACGGAATCACCTTCCTCGAAGCCGCCTGCGTGTCCTCGCCTGCCGCTGCTGTTGTTCTTTTTTTTACCCTTCACTACTGGCTTCTTACGCTGCCTAATATCCGTGTTCTTCATGAGAGTCGTCGGTGTCGTCTTTGCAGAAAGGTGTAGTTCTAAACAGGAAATGATAAAACATTGTGGTATACTGCGCAATATGCCGCAAGATAATAACGCTGAGAGAATTATATTAAATAACGCTAATGTAAAAAAATAGGAGTTTTTAGAATTTATACTGATAAAGCTTATTAATTTATTGATGAAAAGTAACACAGAAAATTCTGAAGTTCTTCTAACATCACACCCGTGAAAATTGCAAATAAAAAGACCGATATTATTTTTAAATACTGTCAAACATATCGCAGGATATATCACTCGTTTCATAATCGGAAATGAGATATTAGAGAAGATAGGAGCGGACAAAATACAATTTTAGACAATATCAGAGAATTCTTTGTACCTTGCAACCGAACTACGCCGTCGTACTTCCCGAGCGCGTTGACGGACGAGCACACGTATCCACCAAAGTCCCGTTTTTCCAGAGAATTGACAGTGAGATTCATTTGCCAGGAATACTCGTTCAACGGTTGCTCCGTCATTACGTATTTGTCACTGGGCAGCAGTTTCTCGCCTAAATAGAAAGCGAATGGAAATATTGCGCTGTTTTTAATTGCGCAGCTCTTTCATGTGCAGCAGAAACGTTCTCCGCGGAATTCAATTTCTGCCCCACAAAAGCGATCAAAAATACAATCGTGCAATATAGGCTGGTACGATCCAGTAAAATACTGCTCATTTAAAACGTGTTGAATAACAGACAATTATTTAACTTTAAAATTTTAACTTTAAAACAGTGCGCACGATTAGTTTATTAAACGTTCAAACTACGTTCCAGTATGTTTCCAAGTACGCTTTAATACTTGAAAATGAAATGTTTACTTTAACATCAAAGACAGCTAACGTTTGGTAAAGTAAGTTCTTACTACTAGTACACCGGGGAGCAATAAAGATTTTTGCAAAAAAAAAATAAAGACTCAAATAAACAAGATGAAAAACATATTCGTACCCACACTCGAGTCAATAACTGCAAGAGAAATGTGTAGCTTACAAACAACACTTTTATGGTTTTCCAATCAGAGCGATATAAATGACTCAATTTTTGCTATACAACTGTATCAATTATTCTCATATGTATTTTTCAATATTTGCGTATCGTTTATTGCGCAGCATAAAGTAACGCTTTGAAATCATCCGCGAGAAACTGTCGTCGTTAATCAAAAATTTTCAAACGCATTGATTTTGACGGGAAATTTATGGAGCTTTTTTTCGGAGCGGCAGCGCGTTTACGAGCAATTCACGAATTTACATATTTGATTAACGCGTCTAGTGCAAAAAGTCTCTTCGTGACGCGACAAAACTATAATACAATCGCGTGAAATGTGTGTATGTGTGTGTATATATACATGCGTGGATGCACAGATTTTCAATCTAACGCAATTCTGACTTGCAATCAATATTATTATGGTACGTTGGAGTTTCCGCTTTAGAAACTGATTGCAGCCATTCTATGGTTAATCAAGAGTGCAAATCTGTTAGTGTAATGTGAGATAATACAAATTATAGAGTGTCTGATTATCAAATTCAAATTTTAACAAATTCTTGGATGGACTTAATTTAATTCGCGAGACAGCTACTTTTTCGGCAATTTTTTACGAATCCAAAAGTATTTGTAATTCGACGTTTCCGAAAACAGATTTCACATTAGATAGTATTTACCTCTCCAAATTGTATAGATAATTCACGCTTTATGGAAATAGCAGATTGTACGAAAAGTAGATCATATGAAATATTCTGTCTCTCACCTGCATCTCTGTACCAAGTATTCATAGCATGCGGCGACGCTTCGACGTAACATTGCAGCACGACGTCGCTATTAATCGGCGCGGCCACTAATTGATTTGTCACTTTAATAAGAGGTGAAACTGAAACAACCGATCATTAAATTATCGCAACTAAGGAATAATAGTGTAGTCTCTGACATCGATAGAGAATAGCACGATACCCCGTCGTCTTTTTTTAGTTGTTTGCTTCTTGAGCAAATATTTTGCGCTTAACAAAAAACATTATACATTATTAATATTACATCCGAAATAAAAATTAAAATAACAATGAGTAAGTACGTCTCGTTCATTCTGCACATTTTCAGTTGTGCTTGTATAAATCTTCATATTTTTTTTTAATGCAACATTTCCTGTTCTGATAAGATTACGAAGATTATCTTAAATTATTACTTGCTTAATTAAAATAGAATTATGAAGGCAAAAAAATTTTACGCGTTATTTAGAGGTGAGCAAAATGAGGTCAGACAGAAGACCAAAATAGATGGAATAAAAAAATAGAGTGAAAAATACGTTTGGAATCCCAAAGGAGACCGCGTGCTTCTCATTCAAGAATTAACTGGTTCTGTCGCACTTTGTGCACGGCAGCCAACGGTGGGTTAATATTACATTTCGTAAGCAGCGAATTAATGCGAAACCCTTTGCGCTCAAATATTTACACGACCCGCGACGACGTGGATAAATCGTCAAGCCCGCCGGTTAATTTTGCAGTAGCGCGCGGCCGGAAGTTTCACGCGCGAGAAAAACGCCCTTCGCGGGTGAACTTCGGGGGTTGATAAAGTTTTCATTTGCGAATGCCGTTAACCAAATTGCACGGTGATTTTTTAGACTCCCGATACGCGAGGCGTATAACGTTGCGAACAATGCGCGCATTCCCGGTAATTCTATTGTTTCTCCCAGAAGAATGTTATTGGCATACTTTTCGCAACAACGTTGTCTTCCAGTGATGAAACGTTGGATTGCTTAATATTAAAACAAATTTTGCGTTATTGTATGAGACATTTAAAAAAAAATACATAAAAATGTGTAACAACATCGAAATAAAAATATAAAAATATTTTAAATTACGATCAGTGTTGATTATAAAAAAATTGAAAAAATATTTGTTATACTATACTAATGATAGAGGTTTTTTTCGTATTGTTCAATATTAACAAAGTTGTGCGATAGTTCTAGGGGAAAAGTTTTTGAATGGGGAAATTGAGGTAATATAGATATCGAAAAAGGTTTTAAAGTTTAACTCAACCTCATTTCCTATTGAAAATCTCTATCGGTATATTCCTAACCACAGCGCCGTACAGAAGCCAGATGATAGTTTTACCACCGATATTGAAGAAGCATTAATAATCGATATAATTCTCACTAGTAATTAAAGTACATTATAATAAAGTACATTTACAAAAGAGAGCTCGACATAATTGAAACGAAAACGCTGCACCACCTTTAAAATTCATGATTAAAGATTTATTCCCGATAAAAAAAAGTTTCATAATATCTCGTAATACTTTTAAGAATTTTTTACATTTTAAATTTATAAAGTGTTTTAAATATCTTAAATTACTTGAGATTTTATAAATTTTCATCGGAAAAAATTTGTATAAAATAAAAAAATGTTAACACATTTCAGAATCTACATATACAAAGAATTCTAAAAAAAATATAGATAATATATTTCTCAGCATTTCTGCAAAGTATTCCAAATCATATAAAAAAATCTAAAAAATTTTCTAAAAGTTACCAAATTTATATAAAAATTCTGAAGAATTATGTAAAAAAGACTAAAAAATTTTTTCATCATGGTATACGAATTATACAAATTATCTACAATTATAAAATTTGACAGTAAAAAAATCGAATTATACCTATATATAATATGAGAATATTATACAATTTTAAAAATCTGTGAATAAATTTTGAATTAATAGGTATAATTATAAAAAATCTCATAATTAGTTCAAATTTGGAAGATGCATTATAGAAGTGTAATGTTTCGATACAACATTGTTCCAAGCACATATTGTCTTAACAGCATTATAATCATTATATACCCGGTTTAATTAAACAATTAATTAACGCTCTCATCTTTTATCCGTCTTGTCATACGTGAACTTATGAAAGACAGCGAGTAATTATGCAGTATAACACGCAAGGAAGGATCCAGGGGAATCCTTCAATATAATAACTTTTAAAGTAAAAATCTATAACTTTTCAGACAATCGCATTTCTTTGTAATTAATTATCATTCAATTATGATGCTTTATCTTCTATAAATAACATATTGTTTTTTTATTTCGAGAAATTGAAGCTTTCATAATACATTTCATTAATGTGCGTGATTGACGGCGCCTATATCCGTTGCTCGACAATCGTGAGAACATGACTGGTATAATGTTCGGGCATTCTGCCCTGGTAATGTATTCAACGCGACGACGACGAGGCAACGGCTAATTAACGTCCGCATCGCGGCGTGATACCTACAGTGAACATCGACGGAGTAACGCTTGCTGACCGTCGGTGGCACATTGTTGCTGGCTATGCAGAGATACGTGCCCATCTCTTGCCGAAGCACTCCCGTCAGTTCCAGCGTCTCACCGACGAAGGTTTTCAGAGCTGCAACCGGAAAGATCAATATTTAGCACTTTTAAAAAACATCGCATTTTTAATATCTTTTCTGTGCGACGTAACATCCCCCGGGAGACAAAATAATCTATAATATTTTTTTCCCATCTTCTTTCTTTCAATTGCACAAATTTATGTTTTTATATCGTATTTTTAATACAACATTAATAATTTTGCATGTGGCCACAGTTTATGTAGATGTTATTAACTTCAGGTACGATGAATAAATTCCGATAAAGTTTACTGAGATTTGCGTTGAATGTGTATTTGATGCGTATGGTCGTCTACATAAAATCACTAGCATAATTTTCATATGAAAATATATTTTCGACGTGAAAGTTTCAGTTGAATTCACGTGAGAGTATTGTTTAGAATTTAATATCTCGCATACTCGGATCATCAGTGTTGTTAAGAGTGGAGAAAAAGATAAAAATTAATATCGAAATAATAATAAAATAATAACTAAATGAGTTATAAACCCCTTAAATCTCAACCGATAAGACAAAATTCGTAAGAAAGGCAATAGGAGTCAACCTCCAGTTGTTAAAATTTCGAGAATTTATTAAAAATATCATATAACAGTGTAATTTTTGCTGTACTTATTAATGTTGAATTACTGAAGATCACACTTAAACAGGAGTACGAAGTTATATGATATTTTTAATGTAATAAATTCTCGAAATTTTAACAACTAGAGGTTGACTCCTATTGCCTTTTTTACGAATTTTGTCTTAATTAATATCGAGTTATCGCAAAAATTATTTATTTAGTTTCAAGCATTATTATGAACGACAGTCTTTAATAATTATATGTCTTATAAAAAGATCCGTTTTGCGCTCACAGTGCTTGTAAGCATCATTTATTCGTGTTTTATATTTAATATTTGATAGATAACAAGGATGAACTGGTGTTTAGTGTGTAAGCGTGAAAACGGAACGCGCATCCCCAGTCAATCAGCGCTCAGTTTATAGAACTGAAAAATGTATTTGCACATTTGCATATAAATATCAAACATCAAGATCCGCTTCGAACGAAAATAAAAAATTCTTGCTATTATTTGTATTAATAAATATTTGGCAAATAAAAATATTATCTTTATGCAAATGTTATTCTTATCGATCTGATGTCCACTTATAATACTTAAGAATAATTATGTATTTTATCGAACGCTCTAATTGAAACTACATTATTTTTAACTTACGCGCATCCCCAGCACTTTTTCGATCCTATTATTAAATCAATATAAAAAGACTTCTCGGAAACCATCGCTTAAATTTCTACGAGAGACAGTCAACTGGAGTTCATTGTTCCGACGACCGTCAAATTTCGAGTGTCGTTACCGGGAATGCGTTGTAAAAGTTTACGGCGTATATCCAGTCCCGCAATCCCGTTTAATCGGCGATGCGAAAAAGTCACGTTGTCGCGAATGACGCATCCGCGAGGTGACGAGATCTCGATTGCCAACTTGGGTGACTCGTTCTCCTACGTCTTCCATCTTTCGCGATATACGGAGGCATCAGCAGGAAGAAGAAGGCGACTTTACGATCGTTCGTTCGTGCGCTATCGTTTGTTATCTTTCTCTTCCTTCTTCTCGGATGGATCTTCTCCCGAAGCCGATCTCCTGCCGAAGTCCTTCCCGCGTTTAACGAGTGTCACCCCGGATATGTTCTCCAGGTGTCTATTTTTACGACGCTTCGGAGATCAGGCTGACACGGGTGGGCAAAGGAAAGAACGATAGTTGAAGAGGAACGATGGTAGTCGGGGAGGACGAAAACGGCACGAAGTGGCGATTACGATCGGAGAATTTCTTCTTTTACGTCTGTTCTTCCTTCTCTCTACCCGCCTCGAAGATTCTCAAGCTCTCTCATTTTTTTTCCACACGAAAACTCCTCGACTAATCTCTCTCCAGCGAGGATGACGCTAAGAGGACAGGTCGTCGGAGATTCGGAGATCCTTCCAGGAGGATCGCAGCTTGTACACGGAATGTACTCCGCGTATAGCGGATCGGGGATTACCTAGGGTGACGTGGTCGGATTGCTTGTAAGAGCGGTCAATAAGTGCACTTTAACTCGCGAAGGACGACAAGCGGATCCTCGTCCTCGACCTCGTCACGCGGGGGTCGTTAACCCTTGTTAAACTTTAATCCTTCGGGTAGGATTAATCGCGAAAACGAGTTCACTTGAAGTTTATGGGACGTAGAACGATTCTTCTACAATTTCTCTTAATCCGCGGGAGGCGCTAAATAGATCTTTGTACGCTATCTCAATGTGAGATTCTCTCGGCGTTCCTTCTGACAGAAATGAGGAGACACTTTGCGACAATAACGAAATACGGGGTACGGCACGATGCGAGAGGCGCGTCGTAGAACGCAATATATGTATTTATCGATTTATTTATTTTACGATTAAACTCGAAGCAGCGCGTCGTAATAATTTATGGTTTTAGACGTATACCTACCCTCCCCCTTCCCACCGCGTATGCATTGTGGGGGTGTGTGCTTATGTATTTGCCGCGGGGTGTAAATTACCGTTCGCGCTGTAATTAATTACCGACGGGCTCGAGTAAGCGCGAGAGACGATCGATTATTCCGCGCTGATGCGCCTCGACACTTTATCGCTCCGACACTTTTCCAGCCGCGTCGGCATGGCCGTCTTAATTAGAGAATCGACGTAATCGTGGCACTTTCTTCCCGAGAGCTTTATGCGTATACCGCTGACTCTCCTTGAACTTAATCCCGCCTAACGGCGTGAAAAGAATGGATGTTATCAATGATACTCATAAAAAAACGATTGCGTCACTTCATCACTTCCTGTAGCTGAAAACTTTTTATCCTTATGCAAAGGATCTCTTCTAGTTATTTATATTGGCGATAAAATCAAACGTCACTTTTGCACTTTATACTGATATATATATATATATATATATATATCCGATAATTAAAATAAATATTTAAGCATTATACATAAATGACGTGATATTGTTCTCAATAAACTTTTCTCCGAAATCAGATTTTGATTTCATTCTCTTTTCAAATACTGTTTCTCATAATGGAATTTATGTATTTTCTATTGTACAGTTTCTACGACATCTGCAGTATTCAATAAATTATTCTGCATTCAACAATGGCAATGAATCAAAGACGCAATTCGATAATAAGGCTAAGATGACCGAGAACGAGAAACCATGTCGGCATGCACGAGCGAGTCGTTACCTATGACCCTGTTTCTGCAATATGTCCTGCTTCGCAGTTAGAATTCGCCGTTCAACATGCATCCTATACCAAGTCAGACGTTAACTTTGAATGTGTGAATCCTAAACTAATGTCAAACCCTCAACTTTATAAAGTATAACTCCAAACACTCTGACCAACTCTACTTTAAAATAACAAATAAGCATAATTATTATCGAGACTCCGAAGAGATATATCTTTGCAGAAATTTATATATTTTATAACAACTGGATTAATTGAATCTAGTTTTAATTGTCAAATTTCTAATTGTCTTTACAATCTATTTAAAAGTACATTTACTTCATATTAGACTTTTGCATTTTTTAAATATTTCTCGGTAGTTTTATCTCTCTAAATTAAACAGAAAAATACATTTTTACTCTCGATTAGTATCGAACGTTCAAACGACAAGAATTTTGTTAAATTATTATTTTAATAGAAGTTAAACAGTTTTTTGATTAACAAACCACACTCTGATTTGTGCGTAGACTTAAATACATAATCAAAATTTATTCCTACTTTGGGCACAATATTATTAAACAATTATTAATTAGGGTTGTAACTAATGAGATGTTTTATTAAATTCGATTATAAAGGAAAATTCGATCGCGGGTTTAATACTTTGTTTTTATTTACATTTCGGAAACGTCGCATGCGAGCAAACGTCGGCATGTTATTATTTATTACCATTATTGTTCCGCTGAAACCAATTAGTATCATTAAATTCGAGAATATGAAATTATTAATGATGAGTAAAAGGAAACATAATTGGCTACACAATATTCGGGTTACGATGAAATATAAGCATCAAGGAATTCCTCAGAATGCACACAATCCGTTTCTATTTAACAATACAAGGTAAATTTGAATACAAATTAAATTCAATCATCTTTATATAATACAACGTATCATTACGTGAAGTCTCGCAAAATTCACAAAATTTTTTGCAAATATTAATTAAGGAATTTTAATTCTACATATATTATATAAGGTTAGAAGGAAGAGAGTGTGCAAATTCTGTTTTTAGAATATTCTGTAATATAAATAAATCCGGTTTACATTTTGCCCACTTCGCGTATCTCAGACGGTCGTAATTTGCACTGTTTGACTCTGTTGAATCTGTTATTATTCCGACGAAATTAATATATATATATATATATATATATATATATAGTCATCTTGCCAAATGCGTTCGTGAAACATGCGGTTTCAAAGGAATCTCAGATAACTCGATTTTACGAGAATGCTGAGTTCTGCGAATGTAATGCGATTCAAAGCTTATTCTAAAATATCAACGGTAAGTGAATATAAGTTCATCAGAGCATGGACTGCACAGCAGTTTGCATGTTATATTTTGAGCTTGGCGTATCCGAATCTACTAATGTATGTATCCACTAATATATGTCTATTGAATGCCTCTCATAGTGATGAACGTTAATTATCAGTATCGAGCGGGGGGCGGAAGCCTTGAATGCATTTCAAATCTAGGTCTGATTTATCGCATCCCGCATTATTATTATTGAAGTATTAATGTAATAAAAAAAAAGATAAGACATCTCTTCCAAATTTTTAATTAGAATAGAAAATCCGCGTTTCATTATTTGTTTTTTTGTGAGAATTAAATTCTTCATTTATTTTTAATATCTCTTAATATATTAAAAAATTTTCGATACTAAAGTTTAAAAAATTTTTGTAATTCAATTTTCAGAACCAGTGTTGCGTCGCTTAAGATGTCGTAGATAAGAAATCAATTATAGAAGCTCCTTGGAAGTACAGTAGTACACTTACATTGTTTCTGCCCATCCTCTCTAAGGATAATATTACGACCGTCTTCTCGTTTCCAAGTGACAATAGGCTTCGGCGAACCAGTGGCGACGCATCGCAATCTTATATTGCCTCCTTCATGAGTGACCATACCATCTGCGGACTCGTCATCCATTATGTCGGGCGGTATCACTACTTCCATATATCCCATCTGGAACAAGGAGACATCAAAAGATTCGTATGTATTGTGAGAAACTTCAGACTTTAGATTTAAGTATTTAACATTGCGATATTATATATGTTGCAATATATATAGTTTGTTTAAAAATAAAATTCACGCACTAAACCATATAATAAACTGATATTGAGCGAGAACCAAATTATATCATCAGTCTCTAATAGAATTTTATAATTATGTGTTGTAAAATGCAAATTAAATAACATCATTGTTCCTTTAATTTTTTAATTTATATCACATCGGAACTATTTGAACTATTGTTTAAAATTACTCTTCTGTATACAGGTTGTCGAATATTACAAAAGGGTTTCTGTTATCGGGTTCTTTGTGCAACAGCAATCTGAATCATTTTATTATTAAAACTGTTTCTAGCAAAAGATAAGAACGGATTAATTGCATTTTGATGTACTACGAACGTGAAGATCAAAGAGTTAGAAAGAATTCCTTTTTGCGGAGTAAACAGCTCGTAGAGAGGTCATACTAAAGCCGTCTGCGCAAAGACAAGGCTCGAACTACTCACTGGAAAAAAAGTACATTGTTTTACAGTCCCAAGCACGTACACGATGAGGGTACTCTCGCACGGGTATAACGTGCAAGAGTATAGAATTTACTGGACGTGAAATAGTACACGTAGCCTATCCAATTCGATGAAACAAACATGCAATGAAATTTATGGTTTTAGGCGAAATAAAATAAATGCCGGTTTGAGTTTGCTTCTTTTATCACACGAATTTGTTTTTTTTTTATTTTATTTAGTAAACGTGCTTCGTTCATTATTACACAAAATTTGCCGAGATGAGATCTGCATCTACCATAATAATATTTTAATACTGCAGTGAAACATCATTTAAAAATTTCACAGTTAATATTGCTATAACAATAATATCATATAGTCCGAAACACATGAGCAAACGTAAAATTTCCATATATTTTATTCTACGTAAATACGTAAATAGATAAAAAATAAAATTCCCTGATAATTGACGAAATCTGAGCTTCAGCCGCGTTTAATTAGAGAACAAAAATTTATTGTTGTACCATATATTTGCAGCGGTAAAATAATAACGTGCAAACAACAATATAAAATTTCTGTTGCTTTACATCCTTCAATAATCCTTTTATATAAAAGTACTTTAAAAAAATCTAATTAAAAGATCTTAATTATGAAAGTATTAAAAATGATACTAAAAATAGTTTATACATATATTAAAAAATTTATAAATTTTTTAAATTTATAATATGTTCTGACGAATCTACGAATTCAAGATAGTCAAATTTATTTAATAATTTAATAATTTTAAAAAAGCACAATAAAAATCTTAAATTTGTGAGCCAAAATGTTTAAAGCAAAATGTTGTAACTTTGCAAAATTCAAACAAAATGCATATAATTTATAAGAATCAACGACAATTAGTATAATAATAAGCTAATGAGAACACAGAACTAAATAATATGTATTTATTATCTTCGCACATGTATGACGCAGCATTAAACATTAACTTCATCATCGTCAGGTCGGAAATATCGTGTCGTCGCCTTGCGCGAGACGTCAGTCGACATAAACCACACTAAAGTGTCTCGTGGCTGTGTAAAAAAGACATCGTTTTACGTCCCTGAGCACGTACCGGCGGTCGCCGGTGTGTTATGGGTTAACGTGAATGTAGGTCAAATTTACTGGTCGTGGTGCGGTGCACATGTCCCATGGAATTCAATGCGACCGGCAGAGTGGCAAACCTTCCGATGCAATATACGGCCCTGTGGCGAGATAAAGGGCCCAGAGTGCTCGTCGTAGTGCGAGCAAGACAAATGATAAGTTTGAGTGAGATAACACGAGTATGTGTAATGTGTACATATATCTGTGTTTTGTGTGTGTGTGTGTGTGTGTGCGTGTGTGTGTGTGTGTGTATGTGTGTGTGTAAAAAAGAGGATAGCAAGATAAAAAATGAATGAAAGAAAATCCGGGATCACACACGACTTTCTAAAAATATTATCAGAGATCATATATAAAGATATATGTTTAGCCACTTATACAGTTTGCATTGGCTATGTTAATTTTACAGGGTGTCCCGCATTTAAATGCTCAAACAAAAACAAAAACGAGCAGGTCTACAAGAACTTTTTTTTTAGTTTGTCGATCCCCTACACGCTCCTAAAGCTTGGCTATTTAAATTCAGGACATCCTGTATATTTAGTGTTTTTTTTTTCTAAATTAGTTAATTTAGCAAATATTTCCAAATTTCTGAAAACTTTATTTATAAACCAAATATTTATATATTGCAGCTTCGACAGTTTCTCTATTCTCATATTTCAATCGATAAAGATTATTTTTAGAGCATCTTCTTGCAAACTTACGAGCGCTGGTTTACGAAAGGATGTAGTAACTGCCTGGTAATGGTTTGGTGAGTGCGCGTCCCAAGTGGATAAGATAGCGATGTAAATGCGATAAATAATTTCACCGTCGATCGACTTGGTTCGAGATTTAAGGCACGATGGGGTATTTCGAACGACCGATCCGAGAACCAACGACGGGAAAATAGTCGCCCGAAGATATACAATATATGCGCATCTGATGCACTTTTAACGTCGACAATAATTTTCCAGGTGCCTTTTTGAATACGTAGCTTACGCTTTATCGAAAATCTACATAATTAAAACCACGCGACGTCACGTCGTGAGGATTTCATTCTTTTCACTGACCACCACAAATTGCCCTTTACGTGAACATTGTGTGTTTATCATTGAACTCTCCCTTTCTTTCCTTTTCTTCTTCTTATGTATTAATAAAGTTTAGGTAAATGCTAGAAGTCTATGGGCAGAATTAAAAAAAATAATAGATCATTTTCAAGGGAATTTAATAAGCTTTAAGATAATGTTATATAAAATTTAATTTAAATTCTATTATTTTTTAAATTAAAGAAATGTGAAAAGTGAGTAAATTGCAAAGTAATAAAATTGTGCTGCTAATATGAGAAGTCCCGAGAAATTGATATTGTAATAACACGCAAGTACATAAGTATTACAATTAAAAAACTTTAATGTTTCTAAAATACAAACAAACACAGCTAAAATGCGCGTAAAATGAGCATGCGATGCGCATTGTACCTAAAACTCGTTTTCAAGTAGTTGGAACCAAGTATCGCAAAAACTCTATTCCGGTAAATATCTATTCCGGTTGTCCTTTTTATTATTGCATACTAACATTTATAATTTAGCAACGATTTTCACAATGTTTTTACAGTTTTACGATCATTAAATCTAATTTCTGTAATTAAGCAATTCAATATATCTCGTATTTTTCTATTAATACGATCTCACTCTATCACTACATGAAGAATTTATTGCCAAATATTTACTTATTAAATAATAAACAAGGTTTAAAGACTGATCTCAATGAAACTTGAAGACTAGCTAAAATCTAAAATCTTTTTTACACAATGACTACGGGCATGATCTAATACTGAATTTTTCACTAAGTTTTCAATCCAAGAGTATAATAAATTCATGGTGAAATCAATAAATAGCGTTTATTTATAGTTTAGCAGAAACGCCGCTCATATTAGACGCCTATTTCATAATAGGAGGCTTTCCTCTATTAATAAGATGAACAGAAATTATCTTGACATAATACATGTAAAAATGTTTCTATTAGTCTCTAGAAAAAATGTCTCTATTGCTTCGCATATAACATTTTTATATTTAATAACATACTTCTAACAACTAATTTTTCGTTAGAAAGAAAAATTTGTTGAATTCCAGAACACATAAGAATTCAAACATAAAGCGAAATCTTAAAAAATCTGGAGATAAGCCTCCACTCTAATTTTGACAACTTGAGATCTTCTACTTTAAATAACGTAAAAGCTCCTGCTTCTCGATTCTGAATTGCAGCTGCAACGATGGGCTGATATTACAATCGATATTGAATCGCCAAATAATGGTCAGAGAGGGTTGAAGAAAAAGTGCGCGCATTAAAAAGTTATGGTCGGGCTTGTGTATGGAATTTTAAAAATTCCACCGGACGGATCCGACGAAATTGCGCGAAACCTCGATCTTTTTAATCGAATTACGTCGCGCTACGCGACGCGGTGCTTTGTCGGTGGAAATCGATAGAGCCGCGTGCGTAACGACCGTCGTGCGCGCGATTCCAACGTGGAAACGCCGTCGAAAAATAGAGCGTCGTGCGGAAGGTAAATGGAAATTAATTTAACAGAGATACGTTGTTATTGCGGATCTGCGTCGCAACGTGTTTTAACGTACCGGATTAATACTGTGTGAAGTGGTATTTGTGGTATTTCAAAAAATGCGGGTACCCGTGTTATAAAAAAAAAATAGTAAATAATAATGGAAAGATGTGTACGCGAAAACACGGGGATACGCAAAAACGTTGTTAGAAAAGGAATAAAGAATTAGACTTTTAATTGCATCGTAATACATTGTTCTATGTGTGCCTTTCAATATTTGAGTATATAAATGTATAATACATATATTGTTGTCTCACCTGACTGCGCATAGGGTCGGTATTGACTTGACACATGTAGGTACCAGAGTCGTTCTTCTGGACATTCGACACGTGCAGTTTCCACGTGTTGTGCCCGTTGTGCGTGACGGATAGTCGGCTATTGTGCGCCACCATGTGCGTGTGGATCGCCAGAATCGCTCGAGAATCCGACTTTATCCAGGCTACCTGAAACACCGAAAGAAAATTTTATTTTTTGGAGCAAAGGTAGAACGGAATTTTACACTGAGAAAAATGGTCTGGTTGGATTAAACAGTAATTCTGGTGGAAAATGGACGAATCAGAATTTTCTGGTTATGTCTATTAGAATTCTAGTTGAGATAACTAGAATTCTGATTAATATAATTATTCTGGTAAAAATAAGAATTCTAGTAGATTTTACCAGAAATATGGTATCAACCAGAATTCCGGTTATCTCAACTAGAATTCTAATAAATTTAACCAGAAATTTCTGATTCGTCCATTTTCAACCAGAAATTTTTTTCAGTGTACAATTTTAGCTTTTTAATTGTACTTTCTAATCGGAAAATACAAATAGCCGCTTGAAAATATGTGTGTGTGTGTGTGTGTATAATTAGAAAATATAATAAAATTCGATATATTATACAGTTAATCTATTACTAAATGTATAAAATTAATTTTGCGGCTAAATTTGAACGTCTATTAAAATCTGAACAATGAAGAATGATTGAGAAAAGATAAGAATATAAAATTTTATTAAATTAAATGTATAAAGTCTAAAATTAGTTCACGATGTAGCAGACGCTCGCACCGTCATTTGCAGTAGTTATAGACGGATATAGTCAGACTCACGGAAAAAAAACGAGTTCTACAAGTAAAACTAAACGCGGAAATGTGCAAATTTAAATTGACAGATCTAATGTTTTATCTCGTTTCAATAAAAATATAAGCGGAAACATATATTTCATGCGCTACATTTACTATCTATTTATATTATATTATAATTTAAAAAGAGACAGAAATTTTTGAAAGACTGCTACATTTCACATAAATCTCAATGTACGTTTTATAATAAATGTGTTCATTGTACATTCGTTTCTAATATTTAGTGTGCTACGAGTGGCAATTCTTTTTTAATGCTTTTTACGATAAAACACGAAGGATTGTTTAGAAAAAAAAACATCGTACCTTGTACGACTGCAGATGATTAACGACGCAGGTGAAGAAGACGTCACGACCTTGGATCACCGTGTGATTTTCTAAAGGAGCTAAGAACTCGGGCAAAACTTCGGGGGTGATTTGGCCTGAAACAATGCAACAATGTAACGTTCAATTATTTTATGTTAATTACTTTATGTCCCCTTCTCCCTCTCGATTGCACGAATTAATAATGGAAGACAAACGCGCACACACACACATCGGGGAAACATAATAAATATAATAAAAATTATTTTCTATAGACAATACAATAAAAGCTTTCGAGTTTTTGGTAGAAAAAGAAATTAAAGAACAAGTATCATAATAACATATTTAGACGACAATGCAACGTGCGCAGACAATAGCAGAATATTAAAAAATGTATTAAATTTACCATCAATTTACGAATTTCAATCTTTCATCATCGATAAATGACAAGCAAAACAACGCATTTTTGTAACGCGTTATGTGTCGCGCTCAGCCCTTTCCAATCTCACCGGATATCACGACGATGTGATCGTGTCGCGCGCGTCGCGCTTGGAAAAATACGATGCGCTGCGAATGTTCGAAAAAAGGGAACGAAAGAATGAATGCGCTTGGCATCGTCGACGAGCAGTGTCTCACGGAATGCACAGCCGCGATTCGCCACCGTAGAAGTGCATGCATGAGCGAACAGCATGCTGTCGATTAGATATTCAAGACGGGGGTCGAGGATGGGTATAGCATCCCTCTCGGTCTTTCACCTCCGCGCCCTTCAATCGGCCTGGCAGAGTAGAAAGCCACCCATATTCTCGTATCGAATTCTTGTATGCGTTCATGCAAGAAGGGCGATAAATGGAAAAATTCTTGAATCTCGCAGTCGTAATCCGAACACCGGCGCGGCCGTCCTCCCCAGTTTTCATGGGGTCGGTTTTACGATTACCATGGATTGGCCGATCTGCCCTAGCCACGCTCGCGCACTTTGCCCCCTCCCTTCAATCTTTTCCCTTATTTCTCTACGCTTTCATTCCGCTCTCTTTCCCGCTCGACCCTTGCCGACCTTTTTATTAACTACTTAAATTTAATTTTCGCTTCATTGGAAAAAAAAGCTGCGAGACTCCTCTAGAAAATGTTGTAGATTTATCAGACGTAATAGCGTCTGGTGAAGAAATAATAGTCATTGCTAGATAAAATATATTTTAATTCAAACAATCGTTATACTTACAGTACAACTATTGTTATACTGGCATTTTTTATTTATACAATTTTGTTCCTAAGATGTCTTTTCTTACTCCTCTTTGTGATGTTTTAATTAAATTGCTCTTCTTCTTTCTTATACGTATAATATTCAGATATTTTAATTCCAAAATACGAAATAATGGAAAATTTCATTAAGGAAAAGTAGATGTCCTGAAGGGTTCAAAGCATTTGTAGCGCAACTGCATTTCTACTCTATTTTCCTCTAGTCTCTTATTCTTCCTTTCTCTCTAATGAAAGGACTCTAATTTTACGTTTAATTTTTCATAAAAGTAAGTTCTTATAAGCGGCAAAACGTATGCGTAAGGTTCGTTCGCACGTATGAGCACAGGAAAGTGAGAGAGAGAGAGAGAGAGAGAGAGAAAGCGAAAGAGAGAGGAACAAAAAAACATAACGCAAGTATAGCCTGCCACGCTTTTATTGCGCTGGAATTTCATTCCTGGTCTAATTGTAATCAGCGAGGTGTAATTCTAGCAATTTGTCTAGGGATATCTAATTAATTAGGTCCTTTCGCGACCGGACAGGACGAGTACTATACACAAACGTATACGCTCGCGGTCTGCCATCTCCTCGTTAATTACACCGTGCGCAGGATGGAATTTTTCATCGGAATTATCACGCACCATCCGCTCAGGAAATTAAGATCGCCGCGATGTTCACGGCTGCACTACGCCGGAACCAACTTCGTTTTCCTTCTCGTTTTAGACATCGTTCTGTTTACGCTAACGTGAGGTTAAATCGTGCCGCTGGGCACCTTCGTGCAAAAATACATAGCCTTAGCTTGATATTGCACTGGCAGACAGAAAGTTCTTCTACCAAATACATTAGTCTAGTCAATGTTTTGTTTCATATCGAAATATAACAATAATTAATTATACTCACTGAAAGAACGATTTTGCTAAAGAGTATCCAAAAAATTAACTACATACAGATTTAAAAATAATTTTATTAGAATATCAAAATAATTGTGTAGAATGTTTAAATGTTGATGACAATGTTGCAAAATGTTTTACAAGTCTTATTATAACAATTTATTTGAATGTCTAATAAAATTATTTTTATGGTCCAAACAAAATTATATTCATAATCTCTATCTAACTAAATTTTTAGATACTTCAGTAAACGTTCTTTCCATGCTGATATTTATTACACGATTTGCTTCCCATGTATTAATTCCCACTCCAAAAATTCCGTACTCGACTGAGAGTTCGCCATCTAATAAGGACCCTTCCTCAAAGCATGTCATGGGTACAATACACAGACAAGGTACACACACAAGACACACATAAGCACAGTTTTCATTTGGTGGTTAACTTAGTTAGATTTAACCTAATATTTTATCCAATTATTTATGAGCATTATCTATGATGTCATGAGTGAGGCCTATTGGATGAAACATGAGGTTAAATTTAACTACAAGTTAATGAAAAACCGGACCATAAACACACTGTCACCAATAATTAATTAAATTATATCAAATTATTATTAATGCGTGGCAACTGTCCTAAAATGACGTTTAATTGGGGACGCCTTGGCAATGCTAATTAGTAGTCCATGTAATATAATAATACATAGGAATGAATTAACACGTAAATTATATAAATCATCAGAGCTCTTTAAATTATTTTTGACGTGTATATAGAATAGGAAAGAAATAAAAAAGATAAACGAAGTGTTTGTAAGTCCGTCTTTTGACATCGATTCTTCTACAAACAACGGCGAGAGCTAATAAGATGTTCTTGTCGCTCGCAATAAGCGCTCGCGAGCGTTAATAAAATAGTTATGCAGCATTTGAAGGTGACCCTTCACGAACGGTATTAAAGGCGATTATAAAAGTCACAGGGCATCGTCCTCGCCCTCGGTCTAATTCAAGAGACGGGATCCTCGAGAACCGTCGGACGGCTCCGGCGATAGACTTGGGATGAGCAGTATCCGGTGATACCTCGCTTTATCCCGGAGAAACGACGGTAAGCCACCCACACAATGGCGGTCGCGAAGCCGTCCGCCGATTCAAAGAGTTTGGATTTCGCTGGCCTTTCTCCTCTGCGGCCTGAGAGAAATCCCATATCGTTGAAATCGCGAATCTAAAATGTGCTCCCTGGCCGAACGATTCTCTCGTTCGTGCGAGATAGCAAAATGTTCCCCGGACAAAATGATCGTCAGCACTGTAAAGTCGCGCGATATGAAAATCTTCCTATCGCTATTTTACACACATATCTTTAAGCACTCTTCGTAATCGTCCGGAATGCATAGATCTGTTCAACGGTGAGATCTCAAAATGCGTTAGGAAATGCGACCACTAGGGATGCCGCAAGATTCGAGATTTCGAGAATCTTGTCTTGTCTTGTCCCAAATTTCAAGACGAGATCGAGACAAGATTTGCGCGGAGAGTTTAAAGACAAGACGAGATTTTAGACTCGAGATTCTTGAAAATTGAAAAATTATAGAAATTATATAGGATTTATGTCGCAGAAGTCAGAAAAAATAGGAGTGAGTAAAATAAAACTACTGTTGAATCGATTTGTCAATGTAATAGTAGCGCGATCATATGCCACAACATAAAATGATGTATACTGTATATACCGGAATTACTGTAATTGTTTTCCTAAACAAATAATACAAACATGATTAATAATACCAAATATGTGCAATATTGCTAAGCCTAGATCACATTAAACTATATCTAATATAATACTAATTGTAAACCAAATAATACACGAATCACATTTTTGTATTATTCAAACAATTTATTGCGCCAATTATAATTATTATTCGCCAAATAATTTTAGATATTTAAACAAAGTAGGGATCTCGCTCTCTCTGATTCCTCGCATAATTTATTTCTATTTTTGTTATAATTAATCCTGCTGTAGAGAATAACCTTTCCGATGGAACGGACGTTGCGCAAATACTTAAGCGTCGTCTACAATACACGGAGTAAGAAGAGTAAAAAATTGACCAATTACAATCAAATCTAAGAAGAATAATCGATTGTAATTGGTCAATTTCTTACTCTTACTTCTTACTTCGTGTATTAATTGTAGACAATTTATTTAAACACTTTATTGCGCCAATTATAATTATTATTCACCAAATAAGATTTTAGATATTGAACATGTAGCCCATGAATTTAAACAAAGTAGGGATCTCGCTGATTCCTCGCATAATCTATTTCTATGTTTTGTTATAATTAATCCTGCTGTAGAGAATAACCTTTCCTATGGAACGTTGCGCAAATACTTAAGGGTCGTCTACAATACACGGAGTAAGAAGAGTAAAAAATTGACCAATTACAATCAAATCTGAGAAGAATAATCGATTGTAATTGGTCAATTTCTTACTCTTACTTCTTATATACTTCGTGTATCGTAGACAACGCATTATTTAAATTGTCGAGAATTTCGAGACAAGACAAGATTTTCGAGTTCGAGATCAAGACAAGAACGTACATTTCAAGATTTTTTCAAGACAAGACGATATTTCCTAAAATCTCGTCTTGTCTTACGGCATCTCTAGCGACCACGATTTTATAAAAAAAAAAAAGGTATCGCTTTTGACTACGTCAAACTAGCTTGCTACTTAAAAGACGCATTTTGAGATCTCACCGTTTTATAGGACTATCATAGGATTTTTCCGTATACAAAAGTCCTATCTTAAAGGAATCCTTCAATTTTCAGTAAAAAGCTTACTGTTAATTGAAGACTCAAGAGACATAAAAAAACTGTTAATAATCTTTAGTGGTTTTGTGAGAAAATGACATATAGAGTCGCAAAAAAATAGTTTTTTAAAAGGTATAAATACCTAATTTAAAAAACGTTTTTTTTTGTGCAAAGATCTTATGATTTCTCAATCATTTATATACGCAACCATA